GTCTCAGAGAAGGTTCGCGTCATGTCTGTGACCTACAGAAGAAGCAACCGCTCCTCTTGGTGTCTGGACTCAGCCTCCAGCACCGCCGCTGTGACTAGCAGCCGACCACTGAGTGGCTATGGTTCCTTCAGCAGCTCCATCGGTCGGCACGACTACAGCAGCCCCACCAGTGTGGGAGCCACTGGGCTCAGGGGCTCTCGTGGTGACTCGACGAGAACTGGGCTCTACCCGGCCACTTCCGGTAGAACATCCACCGGCCTGGGAGATTCAGTGACCCGTCGCTCCAGCTACACGAGCTACTCAACTAGCGCCACTTCCGGTGAAGCTAGTAAAAGAGATTCGGGCTACTCGTCCAGTAGAAACTCTCTAGACTTGGGGTCCGGGTTATCCCAGAGGAGGAAGTCTTCGGACCTTTATTCTAGCGCCAAACGTGGAGCAGATACATCCCAAGAGGTTGATCTCTCTAGCACCAGACGAGGTAGCAGGTGTAAAGAGAACATCGAGGTCAAGGCTGAAGGCTCGTCTGTTGACGCTGCTGATCCTGCAAGAGACAAACGGCGTCAGAGACCGGAAGTGAAAGATGAGAGAAGAGTTTCTGGAAGTTTCGATGAGAAAAACGGTCGATTGTCTGGAGCTCGTGAAGCGAGGTTGTCCAGGCAGGCGAGTGGACAGGAGGTGACTGAAGATAAGAGGGGACTCGATGCTGGCATCAGTACAGAGACTAAGGTTCTAAGTTTCGGGGATTTTCGGAGGAAGAAAGACGGTGGTGCTAATGCACAGCAGGAGTGTGGTATTAAGGACAACGATGACGTGTTTGTTGAGGAGAGAAGTGAGACGGTGCCGTGTGTTGGTGCCGGCAGGCGAGCCACTGATGGAAGCGTTAGGTGCGACAAACAGACAGCCGACAACGTTAGCAAAACTTTCGACAGGCGCCACAGTGGGAGCAGGGAGGCGAGAGTTCAGGACAGATCTCTCGAGATATCACGTGATACCACGAGATCGAACGAGATATCGCGAGATGAAGGTAAATTTAGATCAATCTGTTGATGGCTATGCTAATCTCCATTGTAAGGTCGGCATTTGATTCGAAAGCAGTGTAACTGTGATGGGGATGGGAGGGGGTGGGGTGTGTTTATCTTGGGCAGGGTGAGGTATGGCTACTGTAATTGTCAGACCAGGTTATCAGCACAGAGCATCCAGTGCTGGGACACTTGCTCTTGGTGGTTCCGCTCTTAAAATAGACCTATGGAACCCGGAAAGATTGGGAGAAAAATAGATTACGGTAATTAAGGATTAATTTTTGAAAGTGTATACGCTTACCTGAGTAAATGCAGGTGTTGCTGGGAATAGGATTAATGGATATGTTGCCATAGAAATTAGGTGGCATTTGGTAACTTACTAGTACTGTAATATTTTACTCTTGTTACAGGTGGGTAGAACGGACTTTAAAAAGTTTGTACCTGCATTCGTTCCGCCCACACCCTTCATTCCTCGCCATCCACTCATACATTCACACACAAAAACAAGCTTTGTTTTATTTTTAAAGCAGTTTTTATTTGCGTTTTTTTCCTTCTATTCCTCCCCAAACCTTGGTTATTTCCCCCTGTTGATGTAAGCAGGTAACCAATTTACCTGCAAGGCTCCACAGGTTGTTTACCCTGACCGAGTTTACCTTTGTGTTTCTTACTGTAGCCCATTCTTAAAGTTTTCAGCACTAGCAGGCATGTTGTTAGCGCGTTAACCCCAGACTTTCAGCCTTTGGTTTTTGTTTGATGCTAGTGGCTGGGAACATTTAGTCATCTGTTTACATCATTTATTGTATCATTCAGGGGAGGTAAGACAGGATGTAAGGGAAATCATCCATGTCAGAATTAAAACTATTGTGGTTTTAAAAAAGATACACATTTGATCTTGAAGACTACTCGATAAGCCTAGACTAATTTTATCACGTCAGTGTCATTAATTTTTGTAAAAAAAAAGTATCAAAAGTGAAATGAAATGAAAATATAAATGAAAACATTGCAAATATACATCACTGTTAAGTGCGTGTTTTGTTAAAAAAAATAACGAAGATTAAAGACACTTTTTTGGAGCATTGAAAGAAAAAAAACTTTTCTGGCTACCTGTTGCTTGCAGAAGCTAATCAAGACGGAACTCATTAGTTCCACGATCTAATTGACCTTTGATGTGATTAGTGTGCTTATAGCTGCCATCGTTTCGTTGAATCGTAAAGCTTGTGTGTACATTATCAACCTGTTTAGGGTTATTGTTTGGTGTAGGCGTTTCTTCGAGTTTTACTAACATTTACCAACTTATCATCATACAAGCGGGTGTAGATGTGGTAACTGATTATACAAGCGGGTGTAGACATTGTAAGTGATCTGAGCCAAAAGAACAACGTTGACTGAGAGACATTGACAGACTAATGCCATGTGATGTGCTGGGGGAAACCCAGACACATTCTGTGAGTGGGAGGAATCGTCTGCTCTTAGTGAGTACCGTCATGTGCACGTGCTATAGACGTGAGAGCTATAGACGTGAGAGCTATAGACGTGAGAGCTATAGACGTGAGAGCTATAGACGTCTTGTTTGGTTTGTTAAGTGCTTGGGTTTGTAGAACCGATGTTGTAGACAGGTGGGCAGGTAGTGAGCACATAGTGGGTGGGTAGTGGGCATATAGTGGGTGGGTAGTGGGCATATAGTGGGTGGGTAGTGGGCATATAGTGGGTGGGTAGTGGGCAGGTAGTGGGATGGTAGTGAGCACATAGTGGGTAGAGGGCAGGTAGTGGGCAGGTAGTGAGCATATAGTGGGTAGGTAGTGGGCAGGTAGTGAGCACATAGTGGGTGGGTAGTGGGCAGGTAGTGAGCATATAGTGGGTGGGTAGTGGGCAGGTAGTGAGCACATAGTGGGTGGGTAGTGGGCAGGTAGTGAGCACATAGTGGGTGGGTAGTGGGCAGGTAGTGGGTGGGTAGTGAGCACATAGTGGGTGGGTAGTGGGCAGGTAGTGGGTGGGTAGTGAGCACATAGTGGGTGGGTAGTGGGCAGGTAGTGAGCATATAGTGGGTGGGTAGTGGGCAGGTAGTGGGCAGGTAGTGAGCCGATAGTGGGTGGGTAGTGGGCAGGTAGTGGGCAGGTAGTGAGCCGATAGTGGGTGGGTAGTGGGCAGGTAGTGAGCACATAGTGGGTGGGTAGTGGGCAGGTAGTGAGCATATAGTGGGTGGGTAGTGGGCAGGTAGTGAGCACATAGTGGGTGGGTAGTGGGCAGGTAGTGAGCATATAGTGGGTGGGTAGTGGGCAGGTAGTGAGCACATAGTGGGTGGGTAGTGGGCAAGTAGTGGGCAGGTAGTGAGCCGATAGTGGGTGGGTAGTGGGCAGGTATTAGAGGGTTAGCGACACAGACTCACTGACACTTTTATTTCGTTTGGTTGTTTTTTTTTTTTTAACACCTGGCAGTCGTTTATGATTTTGACAACATGACCTTAGTTAAAAATGTAGACAAGGTACCGCCCGATAGTTTTGGGACTTGCTAAATGTGTTGATGATGCCGCCTAGTTGTGAGAGTGAGAAAATGTGGTCCTAGCTGCTGGCAGCCAGGGTCTAATGTAGGGGGGGGTGAGAGAAAACCTGACGACATCACACAGACGACAAGCGTCCTAAATGTGTCTATGACACCTGTATCTTGTATTAGCCCGTTAGCCAGAGAAGTAGGACAAAACATTCTCTGACACTGATGCATGCGGACAGGATAGTGGACCGACCCGTTTTTGTTTGGTGTATGACGTAGTAGTTCCAGTTGTATATGCGTGAAAAAGGCTGCGACACTACTTCTTTAAACACATCCTTACCTTTTTTTCTACCAGTGTAGTGTTTTTCTTAAACAAAGTTAACCTTGATAGAGTTATAATGGTTTGGTTTCAAACAATTGTGGTCGTTGCTATGTGACGGTGTCGTAATCTACCGGCAGTGGAGGGACGAGTGACATGGGTTGTGTACATACAGTACAGAATATTTGGTTACAGCAAATCGTGGTCACGTCAAGCACTGGACCACCACAGTTAAACCACACTGCCCGTGTTCCTGTCTCAATGGATTTTATTGTATTCAATGTGGTTTTTTTTATTGTCACCATTAAATGCTTGCTGCTTGGTGTCTAACCAAAGCTGTAAATGAAACACTCCCAAATACTAGATTTCTTACCACATTCAATTTTAAACTCTTTGCTGTTAAAAAAAAATATTAATTCTAATAAGTGTTTCCCCTTTTGCTATTAAAATCCAAACCTTTTTTTTTCAAACATTGATGTTTCCCCACACCTAATGTAGGCTATATAACAAATGTGCATGTGGATATTTTTTTTTTGTTTATTTACACTGACTCTGTTTGCTTTTCTTATTCTGTACGTCAGATGAGTAGCGACTAGAACAATTTAAAGGTCTGGTTTCATCATTCTTAAAAAACAGAAGAAAATAAACATTCTCTTTACACAGATGTTTTATATTTTGAAGACTTTAATTTAAATCTTTTACTAGACTTTTATGATAATAAATAATTATTGTCATAGAACCTCGATAAGTCTAAAATAATTATCTATTTATTTACCACTTTACATCCCTTGTGAAGTGTTAATCTATTCTCTTCTCTGTGTAGTCTACTCTCAGCACTGTAAAACTACTAAAATGTCGCTTATCTAATATCTGTTCCCGCTTGTAAATATGTGCCCCGCTGATGTATTGACGCTTTAGTTGTCTAATTAACTTAATCTCATTAAATGAAATAAAGTCTATTGATAAATGTTACTAGTGATTTTAATGTGAAACACTAACAACAATGTTACAAAAATTAACGCAGAAGCTTTCGTTCTTTGGTAAATTAGTACACTAATTATAAAACAGCTATCAATCTCATTACATGCTATACAAAGCAGTAAACAATCCTTGATCAATGAGTTAGATGTATGAGTCTACTATAGATGGCTGTAGTGTCACCCTCTCCCCCACAGATCGCAAGAACAAGCTGAATGGAGCCATCAAGTCTACCCCAGCAGCCAGCGCCCCCAAGGCCAGCACGACGGCAGCCAGCGCTGCCCAGAAGGAGATCGAGAGGCTGGAGAGTCTGTGTGAGGCCAGGACCAAGGAGCTGACCCACACCAGGATCCAGCTCAAGGCCACCTCACAGGGCTTCGACGCCATGGCCGTCCTGGTCAACTACTGCTGTGCGGAGGTCAGTTCTCTCCCCTTACCCTTGCTTTTCACTTGTTTGTACCAGACATATACTGTGTCTGTGTTGATAAAATGTTGCCAATTTGTAATTATAATAAACCGGGAGTGATCTCCCCTAAACTTTCTCGAATATTCTTATATAAAATAACAGGGGATGGGAACTCGGGCTATAGACATGATTTTTTATCCATTTTAAATACTTAAAGTTTTAAAAATAGAATAAAATCTCGTAGACAAATTAATTGCACACCAAGTGAACGCCAAATAAAAAAGCGCATAATAGTGCGCAATATTATTAGTACTTTTAAAATTTACATTAGTTTTTTGAGAAATCGGAAGTAGCGTAAATTACTACTTCCGGTCAACGGAAATTACTCAAAATTTAACAGAAGGTAGAAAATTAGATCTTTTACTTACATGTGAAATTTCGTTTATCTATCTGAAATAGTACTCAAGTTATAGGCTTTTGAAAAATTCAAAGTAGGAAAAGTACCCAATCCGGTTATCGGAAATCGCTCAAAAGTTGATACGGATCTACGATTTTGATAAAATACTTATATATAAAATTTCATCAACCTAGCAGTAACGGTACTCAAGTTATCGTGTTTACACACGGACAGACAGACAGACACACAGACAGACACACAGACAGACACACAGACATACGGACAAGATTGCAAAATTATGTTTTTCCGTATCAGTGAGGTGTAAAACGTCGAGATTTGTAAAAATCTCGATTTTTTTTTTTTTGCACGATTACAAGACTTTTTCTATACTTCGTATATACGAGAAAGTAAAAAAAATATAATGGAACGTCACGTCCTAAAATATTTTTAAAAATAATTGTGTAATAATTTTAATGATCTGTCGCTTAGAAAATAAAATTAAGAAAAGACAAATTGAAATGATAACTTGTAATACTTTCCAGTTGAATGCTTTCGAGTGCCCGGAACTGGCCAAGAAGCTTGAGACAGTGCAAAGGCAACTTGCTGACTGCCTAGCTCAGATTTGTAAGTCATGCTATTAGGGTTAATGTTATTTCATCTGTTTTTTAATAGATGCATACTTAAAAAAGCATTAATTTGAATTGTATTTTATACACTTTTTAAAATTAAGATGTTGCTAACGTAAAATTTACTACAATCAACACTTGTAACGTTTTTTTTTAAAAACAAGGGGAGTTAATCGAAATAAATTACTTTCTTCTAGAAATAACCTTGTAGTCTCCCATGTTCTGACACTGAAGATAAATGTTTTGCTTTATCAGCCGAGCTGAGCAAGGAGAAAGATACACTAGGCCAGCACCTGAGTGAGGTGATACAGGAAAAGGATGAGGCCGTGAAGAAAATTGAGGAGGCGATGTGTTCGGCTCAGACAGAGAGGGAGGAGCATGCCAAGGTGACACGTGACATGGACGACACACATAATGCTGCACTGACAGCACAGAGGGATGAACTGACATCCAAACACGAGGAGGCTATGAAGAAATGTAAGCTTTGGGGAGGGGTCGGACTTGGTTCTTTGGTGGGGGTGGGGGGAAGCTTTGGCTGGGTGGGACTTGGTTCTTTGGTGGGGGTGGGGTGGTGTGGGGGGGGGGAGCTTTAGCTGAGTGGTACTTGGTTCTTTGGTGGGGGTGGGGTGGTGTGAGGGGGGGAAGGTTTGTGTGGTGGGGGTGGGGAGCTTTGGCTGGGTGGTACTTGGTTCTTTGGTGGGGTGGGGGGGGGTGGGGATGGTGAGCCCTGTTTGGTATGGTTGGAGGGGCTTGGTGTTGTGGGCTTTGATGGGGGATGCGGTGCTGAGTATGGTGGCGAGATGGGGGGTGGGGAACTGGTGTGGTGTGAGTGTGGGGAGCTAGGTAAGGGTGAGGAAATCTATCAATGCTTTAGTGTGTGTGTGTATAGGGGGGGGGAGATGGAGTGCTTTGTGGATGTGTACACTAAATCTGTTAATTAACTTATTCACAACTTTATTTGTGTTTTTTTGTTTGAAATCTAAATCAAACATTACATTTCTTTGTCTAGAAAGTAATGAAAAAAATGTAATTGTGCGGATGGGGATGAAATAGTTTCCTCATGTTTTTTTATCTTGATTGGGCTAAAATATCTAACATTGTTAATTGAGGTGGGATGTAGATGGATGTCAATCTAAATGTACAGGTTTGAAACTTTACCTTGGTAATCATCTGGGTGTAACAGGCCTCTCATACTGGGAACATGTTTGGTTAGCTATGTTGTTATAGGTAGTGAGGGTTATAATACATGTGTACTAGTGTTTTGTTTTCTTTTCTCTAGTTCGACTTTTCTATGAGAAACAGATGGAATTTATGAAGCAAGGACATGAGAGACAGGTGAGAACACATTGATCATTTTACTAATTAACTTAATTAGATATGCCTGTAAGTGTCCTATCAGACCAGAAGGCCCTTAGGGCAGGTGAACAAGTGTTTTCCTCTGACCTGGGTGTAAGAAGGGATAGTATGATGTTTGGTTTCTCTGACCCAAGTCCTAGATCTTGAATAAAATTACAGTGTGGAAATCTGTGCAAGTGTTGCCATCAAAATGTTCTCTCAACTATACACACTCTAGCCTATAGATCTATAGCCTATAGATGGATATTTTCAATAAGTTATTGCTACCACGAAGTTCTGTTCTCTGTAGTCAACATTTTTCTGAACTCAAAATGTTGGTTGTGTCCCCTTACAAAGACTAGCCTCCCCTGGTTTTCAGATCTCTGAGGTGAAGAATGAAGGCAAGCTGGAGATGAATGGGATCAGGATATCTCACCTAGAGGAAATTCAGGAACTCAGGAACAAACATGACTGCCAGATGGAAGGTAGGGCTGACCAGATGGACACTGACATGTCATGTCACATGTATGTCATGTCACATCTTGTATGTCATGTCACATGTTGTATGTCATGTCACATTATGTCCTGTCACATGTTGTATGTCATGTCAGTTTATGTCATGTCACATCTTGTTAAACCCAGCAAACTGTGTAAACTGTTGAAAAAATGTTTTTGTAAGATCAAATGAACTCTTACAGCTGACTATGAAGGTAGGTGGATGTCACGTTTTGTGATGTTTAAAGAGTTAAATAACAAGCACCAGGCATTGACTCTTATTCACCTTATTCACCGAGAGGATTAGAAGGAACTAGTATATTTTTACTGTACTGCCATTTCTCTCATTCTCTCTCTCCTTCTCTCTCTCTCCCCCCCCCCCCAAATTAATGCATGAAGCTGAACCTTCCTGCACTGTCGCCAGTATTGGCCTTGCTGAGCCAAGGGTGGGGAGGATGGGGGGGGAGGGGTTGGAGTAATCCCCAGCTTATTAATTACTGACAAGCTCTAATGACCACAGTATGAGCTCTAAAGATCAATGTTCTAGCTGTCCTTTAGAGCTCATAATGTGGTCATTAGAGCTCTAAAGATCAATGTTCTAGCTGTCCTTTAGAGCTCATAATGTGGTCATTAGAGCTCTAAAGATCAATGTTCTAGCTGTCCTTTAGAGCTCATAATGTGGTCATTAGAGCTCTAAAGATCAATGTTCTAGCTGTCCTTTAGAGCTCTAAAGATCAATGTTCTAGCTGTCCTTTAGAGCTCATAATGTGGTCATTAGAGCTCTAAAGATCAATGTTCTAGCTGTCCTTTAGAGCTCTAAAGATCAATGTTCTAGCTGTCCTTTAGAGCTCATACTGTGGCCATTAGAGCTCTATAGGACAGCTAGCACATTGATCTACTGAAACCACGATAGGACCTCTATACTATCGGTAGAGGACTCTATGAGACACATGTATGCTCTGTATAGGACCACTATATGCTGAATATAGGACCACTATATGTCCTCTACATGACCACTATATGCCCTCTACAGTAGCACTATATGCCCTCTACAGGACCAGTATATGCCCTCTACAGGACCACTATATGCCCTCTATAGGACAAATGTATTCTCTCTATAAGACCAATATATGCCCCCAACAGGACCATTCTATGCCCTCTACAGGACCACTATACACGCCCTATATGACCCTAATTTGATGAGTATGTGTGAGCCAGCCCTACAGCTGGGTGTAAATTGGCAAAAATCGATACATTGTGTCACGTGACCAGGAGCTTTGACCCGAGTAGAATATTCAATCAGGTGATGCCCGTATGTCCCCTCTCTGTCACTTTACCTCAACAGTCACGAATTCTGGCCACATATGAACACAACGCTACATTGATGAACTGGCCGTGTTATATTTTAGAGTAAATATTTTCTTACATGATTTTTTTTGAAATCGTAATGGTTTAAGAATATATTTTGGTGAAGTCAATCATGGGCGGCTACTCACAGTGGTGTGGAAAATGTGCTTGAGCATACTTAAATTTAATGTTTAAAGGAGCAAGTATATGTATGTGCTGTTTCTGTAGTTTCTGAATTTAAAATGTAAAAAGAGTAAAAAAAAAATATACATGGACCTAAACGGTGTATCCCCGCATGTTAAATATAAATTAGTGAAGGAAGCCTAGCTTGCTTGGTTGTGTTAGGACGAGTTATCCTCCGAGTTCTGGTTCTTGGAGCGGTCGATACTTTTTTTTTGTTGGCTTGGCGAGGTAGGAAACTAATTGTCACGGTCTAAATATAACTGGACAACTGGCCCAATGACGTAACTCACCTATGTTAGCTTGGCGAGGTAGGAAACTAATTGTCACGGTCTAAATATAACTGGACAACTGGCCCAATGACGTAACTCACCTATGTTAGCTTGGCGAGGTAGGAAACTAATTGTCACGGTCTAAATAAAACTGGACAACAGGCCCAATGACGTAACTCACCTATGTTAGCTTGGCGAGGTAGGAAACTAATTGTCACGGTCTAAATATAACTGGACAACTGGCCCAATGACGTAACTCACCTATGTTAGCTTGGCGAGGTAGGAAACTAATTGTCACGGTCTAAATATAACTGGACAACTGGCCCAATGACGTAACTCACCTATGTTAGCTTGGCGAGGTAGGAAACTAATTGTCACGGTCTAAATATAACTGGACAACTGGCCCAATGACGTAACTCACCTATGTTAGCTTGGCGAGGTAGGAAACTAATTGTCACGGTCTAAATATAACTGGACAACTGGCCCAATGACGTAACTCACCTATGTTAGCTTGGCGAGGTAGGAAACTAATTGTCACGGTCTAAATATAACTGGACAACTGGCCCAATGACGTAACTCACCTATGTTAGCTTGGCGAGGTAGGAAACTAATTGTCACGGTCTAAATATAACTGGACAACTGGCCCAATGACGTAACTCACCTATGTTAGCTTGGCGAGGTAGGAAACTAATTGTCACGGTCTAAATATAACTGGACAACTGGCCCAATGACGTAACTCACCTATGTTAGCTTGGCGAGGTAGGAAACTAATTGTCACGGTCTAAATATAACTGGACAACTGGCCCAATGACGTAACTCACCTATGTTAGCTTGGCGAGGTAGGAAACTAATTGTCACGGTCCAAATATAACTGGACAACTGGCCCAATGACGTAACTCACCTATGTTAGCTTGGCGAGGTAGGAAACTAATTGTCACGGTCTAAATATAACTGGACAACTGGCCCAATGACGTAACTCACCTATGTTAGCTTGGCGAGGTAGGAAACTAATTGTCACGGTCTAAATATAACTGGACAACTGGCCCAATGACGTAACTCACCTATGTTAGCTTGGCGAGGTAGGAAACTAATTGTCACGGTCTAAATATAACTGGACAACTGGCCCAATGACGTAACTCACCTATGTTAGCTTGGCGAGGTAGGAAACTAATTGTCACGGTCCAAATATAACTGGACAACTGGCCCAATGACGTAACTCACCTATGTTAGCTTGGCGAGGTAGGAAACTAATTGTCACGGTCCAAATATAACTGGACAACTGGCCCAGTGACGTGACTCACAGATGTTAGCTTGACCAGAAACATACAAGTTGACATAATAATGACGTTATTTCATTCAGTAATTGTCTTGTATTTGTGCTTGGAAACGTAATGATATTAGAATATGCAACTGGAAGTAACGGGTGTTTAATAGAATTTACAACCTCAACCTGTGCCCGAAGTGTTATTGGAAGCGGTTAGATTAGAGTTTGGTAGTTGGGTCTATAGCTAACATTCTCCTACACTGGTAACCCCGTCATTCGCTGGTCGAGTGCTGAGGCCAGCCAGGAATTTATTTTTCAAGTGGATTAGAAATGTAATATTGATCTTTATAGATCCCTCTTGTGTCGAGTTGGAGAACGGTTGAATGGGGTCTGTAAGGGTGTTAAGACATTCCATAGCTTACAAGCCTGTAGCAGATTTACAACGTCCTGACAGAAAGTGAGTCTATCACTGGCGCTGTTTGACATAGAATCTATTGGATAGATCGAGTGGAGCGACGATCGGTAGTTAATCACGCTCGATCGAACACGATTTCTACAGACACCAGGGGAGTGCTGGGTGTATAGGCAGACGTCACGAGATGACCCTAGTTAGCACACACGGGAAGTTGGTGGTGGCTCTTCTGGTGGACAGTGGCAATGTGCTATGTTAACTCGGTGTGGATTAGGGGGATGGAAAACTTATTCCCAGTTGCTGCAATCATAAGTTTAAGTATCAAACGCTGTTGTTAAAGTGATTTTTATATTGCATGAAGTCATCTATTCCGACTTGTAGTTAAAAGGCAATTTAATTAACAAGTTTCTTGTTGTGTGGTTATTGTAAACGCTTAAGATAGGTTAAAAGATGGCTTTAACTTACATTGTTTTATGGTGCATTCATCGTGTAGCCATATATATATATATATATATATATATATATATATATATATATATATATATATATATATATATATATATATATATATATATATATATATATATATATATATATATATATATATATATATATATATATATATATATATATGAATGAAACTATATATTAAGGACTGGTCAAAGAAATGTGGGTGCAGTAAACCTGGTTTATATAGTAACTAGATGGTGGGAACAAGTTTTTGTCTAAGTCCATGTATCTCTCTCTAGTTTGATCTTGTACTTGCTTGCTGTGTGATGTGTCAGTAGAGCGCCATGTATACAACAGTTGTGCCGTCAGATAATCTCTCTTCTTTCTATCACTATTTTTACTCTATAGAATGTTTGACAACATGGATGTTGTGTGTTTTCCCTGTGCCCAGTGTTTTTCTTCTTATATTTCTATCTGCTGAGTCCCATTGCAGCGTCCTATTTGAGTGCGTGAGTAATGCTGTGTACCAGAGGGGGGAGGCGGGGGGAGGTGTTACACCTGGAGGGCAGGCAGGCTGGAGTTAAAGATGGGGAAATTGGAAAGGACAGATTTGTGTGTGTGTGTGGGGGGGGGGGGGTGGCTACACCTGGAGTATAGGTAGGGAGGGGTTAGGCATGGAGGGCAGGCACCATTTGAAGAGATACATGTTACCTGCACCGTGGTGAAGAGTGCTCATCTCATCAAGGACATTAAATGTATAAGTTAATGTTATATATAGATGAGATCAAGTGAAAGCTACAGTTGTATAATACATTTCTAACAAGTTTGGGAGAGACAACACCGTAGTCCACAATGTTGAAACAGCTGATGCAAATGTGGCGAGTTAAGTCCCCTGGAAGATGGAGTTATCAGGGGCCAGGCTGTAAATATTGAGCCGTGTTGCTGCTGTGTTGTGTTGTGCTGATGGATGGATGGATAAATGTCATGCTGACACCATCACTTGTGGATTTGACAACATACTTTCCTTTTTTAAATCTTGTTTCGTTCTTTTGATGCTCCATAACTTAGGAAAAAACAAATACCATTTTAAAAGATAATCAACAAGTATTTAATACCAGATGTGTCTAGCTAGTAGAGTTTGGCCACACTGAGTGATCGTGTGGTAAGGTTTAATGCCAGCTACAAGGACGGTGTTTTAGTTAGATAGAAGCGGGATGCTGTTAGCTACTGTAATATACACATTGGAAGTGATGTCTCGGCTGTAAGATAAAATATTGTATCATTTATTTTCTGTGTGAATTCTAAAGGACTCAAGTAAATCGTCTTCGTCTTCTATTGTGTTGATATCTCCTAAAGTTTGTATGTAGGTCTACTCTTTGTTTTTACTCTGGTGTTTTATTTACGACTAGATAGTGTAGAGAGTAGAACCCTACAGTGTGAGGGTTACTCTAAATACCCAGTAACACGGTGAACATAGGGTTTACCTAGACATAGTTAACCCAAGATTCGTTTTTCATTTCTTCACCCAGTTTTATCATCGTTTAGATCTATGTTTACTTTCTTTTTTATGCCCGCCCCCCCCCCTTCAGAGGGTGGGGATTGTGTTGTGGTGGCGGTATATGTAGGAAGGAGGTTGGTAGGCGGTAAACACCGTCTTATTGATGAGATCATCATGTTGCCAGCTTCAGTGTTCTAAGTTCTGTGTTAATGAATGGTGCTAGAGGAGCCCGCTTGAAATAGAAGTTAGCATGTGTAACATTTGATCAATTGATGGAGCTTGTAGTGTTGTTGTAGTCAGCTGTCAAAGCTGATAGGGACTAGGCCTAGCTTGTTTTGAACCCAGGACCGTTTGTGGAAGTTGGGGGTCTTATGTTGATGTAATAGCGCGCGTGCGGCTTGACTTGTGACAGTCTGAGGTGAGTGTAGGTTGATAAGTCACCTGACAGGTTGATAAGTCACATGACGTTTTCCAGGTGTGATGCTGATGTCACTAGAACACCTGGCCGTTTGTTATGTCACGTGACGTCAGCGGTCAACAAAGTCAGCTCATGTTTGATGCCAGCAAATAGCAGCCTCGTCTCGTGTGGTCAGTCTTGCTGGCCTCTTGTGTGTGTGTAGGGGGGGGGGGTGAACTCCCTCACACACCAGCTCACACATACTCAACTCACACGCATCTCATCGCTGGTCTCCACACACTCTTCATTACCCCACACACACTCTTCATTACCCCCCACACACACACTCTTCATTACCCCACACACACTCATTACCCCCACACACACTCTTCATTACCCCCCCACACACTCTTCATTACCCCACACACACTCTTCATTACCCCCCCCCCCCCCACACACACACACTCTTCATTACCCCACACATCGTCTCTTGCCATAGTCTATCCCACACGTTCTCACACACCATCTCTCCTCCCCCTACAGTCATGTCTCTCACAGAAACACCCATCTTTTTCACACAAGTTGTCCGTCTTACACACACACACCCACACAACTATACACACACATCTGATTTAGACAAGCTCAGACTCCCACCGACAGACAGACAGACAGACAGACAGACACAAACATGAATGAAGAAGGACATCAGGTCTGACAGAAAGAAAACATCCCTCTAATGGCAGTGTTGTTTTAGCTACTTAACCTTAGCATCTCGTCACCGTTAGATTCTGTTTTTAGTTTTTTCTCTCAAGGGATCTTATTACGGGCACCATCTTTCTATCTTGTGTGTTTGGGTTTTCTCCCCTGTGTGTGCGCGCGTGTTCGGCCAGTTGGATGGGGGGGGGGGGGGAGTACAGGCTTTAAGATAGGGTCTTATGCATCCAGATGTTTTATTTGACGATGAAACGTCTCGGAGTTATGTGTTAACCTTTGTCAACATTTGTTAACATTTGTTTTGTGTAACATCTCAAGCCCCTGGGTTTTCTCTGTTTCCCACCTCCATCTCAGAAAGTCGTGGTGTAACACAGGGTGATCAGCTCGTATACACTATTCAGGTATGCTCGTGACTGGGATCAAATCCAACCCAGCGCTCTGTTTTTCTTTACAGTAGGCTGGCTTAGGTAGATTATAACTCTAACGTTAGTAAGCGTTGAATTAAAGGGAAATGCATTACAAAAATAATGACGATTTCCTCTAATTGCATTAATTATGTAAAGTAATTATGACGTCATGAGCCCACAGAACAGTTTGGCATGGAAGAGTATTGATTGGTCAGTTTTTTTCTTCTGTTCACACAGTCAGCCTGACATACACACACACACACAAGCACCCACACACACACACACCCACCCACACACACACACACACACACACACACACACACACACACACACGCACCCACACCATTTCACTCGGACACAAACACACATCTATCTAAACACCGATGACGTAAATGCCAGTCATTATTGGCCAAACTACGGCCTCGACAAATGGGCCCGTCCTAGAGTCGAGAAAGTTCTGAGCAGTGTCTGACCATTTGATAGCGTCTTGTGCCTGGAGATTCAGTCTGTAAACCACCTGTTCTGATTTACATATGGTTCCAGTGTCGCATGCAGGTACTAGTGTATCGGGTTGTACTGTCTCATTTATTTCACTTGTCTGACAGCTTCGTGGCTAGAGTAGAGGTGGGTGGGTAGGCTGGTATATTAGTGTTGGTCAAATCGTTCATCGAAGTGTGGCTACACCTAGCGATCTACTTGATCTAGTGAGTATCAGTGGTCTTGGATTTTTCCATCTTGTGATGGTTGTGTTCTGTATCAACTAAAACAGCCCAACACAGGCCAAGGTTGGGTGTCCAATCTAGTGTAGGATCTCTACAGTAGCTTGGTAACATTATAATAGCTCTTGCAACTTGATACATCGTGATATTTCACTGAGAAAAGTTGACTTTTTACCCGAGGGAATAGGCCTTCTGTGTTGTGTTTTTTTTTTACTTTATAAACACTCGGTCACGTGACTCCTCATTAGAGGGCGGTGGCCTACTAATTAAACGTGAAGACTAATGACGAGGTTAAAGTTTCAACTTTTAAAACACGGCCTATTTGTTTGAGACAACGGTAATGTCAGTCGGTCTTTAAAATGGTTGGCTAAATCTCTTTCTATCTCTTCTCTTCCCTATCTCTCTTTCTCTCTCTGACCTTATAATCGCCCCCCTTGGCTATTCTGAGTCCGGATTAGCGCTGAGCACCTAAAGCTGTATCTAGTTAGAGACGGTGAGAGTGGAAACTTGCCACACCACGCTCACTTACACCTGTATCACGTGATCTGTGCCTAGTTTAACCGGAGCCAAGACACTCACAGTTTAGGGTTTGGATTGCAAATAACCAGAGTCAATTGACAATATCTAACTGACTGTCAAGCAGCTGATAAGATGAGGGAGGCGGCGACCGTAGTCCCGTCGCCATCTTCCAGCATGGCGTCTGTTAGTAAAGGGAAGTCATTCTTCAAAGATCTCAGACACACAATGAAAGGTAGGCGTTGTTTATTGTTTGCATCTTTTTTTATAAGCTGGGCTTGTTGGATGAGTTGTGCCTATGTTTGTTTCTGTGTTAGTGTCCATGTTTGTGTCTATATTTCGTGTTTTCCACCTTTGTTGAGGTTATTTCTTCTGTATATCGGCTATGACAATTATTATATAATGTTGAGGTACTTAATTTTTTTAGCTTTAATTATTACATACCTTTTTCTAAATTCACATAAGTGCTGAGCAATAGCTCTACTGAATTTGCTTTCACTATTTCCAAAAAAAAAATATATAAAAAAAAATATATAGGCCTATATATAAGTCATTCGAAATAATAGAAACTGCTTAAACAAATTGTCCCTAGTTACTTCCCTTGACATTAAAATTTTAACTTTTGTTTCCTCAGAACTCCACAAGCAACACAGGAACAAATTAGAGGACATCACATGTAGATTTGAGTCGATCAAGCTGAATCTATCTGTAAGTTGTTGGGTCTATCAATCTATCTGTAAGTTGTTGGGTCTATCTATCATCTGTAAGTTGTTGGGTCTATCAATCTATCTGTAAGTTGTTGGGTCTATCTATCATCTGTAAGTTGTTGGGTCTATCAATCTATCTGTAAGTTGTTGGGTCTATCAATCTATCTGTAAGTTGTTGGGTCTATCTGTCATCTGAGTGATCTGACATTGTTAGCTGTTTTTAAGTTTGTTGATGCTCAGTGTGTCTGACAATCACATTGATTTATTGACAATCACACTGAGTGAATGACAATCATATTGATTAAGTTACAATCACACTAAGTGAATGACAATCATATTGATTCAGTAACAATCGCATTGAGTGAGTTACAATCCCACTGAGTGACTGACAATCACACTGAGTGACTGACAATCACATTGAGTGTCTGACAATCACATTGAGTGACTGACAATCATAATGATTTAGTAACAATCCCATTGAGTGAGTAACCATTTCTCCCTGCAGGAGAAGGTTGAGAGCCTGAGAGGAGAATGTGAGGACCTGAGACACAGAGCCAGGAACAGTGAGGAGGCTCTCCAGAGGGATGCTGATGTCAAGGTCCAGGTAAACTGATGGCTTTCTTCACTCTCACAACTTTACATGGTTTTTTATTGGATACATTCTAGGAATATACAGTTTAGATGATTAGGGACAACTAGTGTTTTTATATAGAAATTCTTGGATAATAGATGTTTGATCATTACGTCCTGCTAGTATTTTTATGTATAAATTGTGAAAATATAAATGATCATTAACACTATTTTTGTTTATAAATTAATAAACTTTAGAAATTAAAATACAATGAGCTTGTATTTTATGATTCGACTAGAATATCAACCTAGTTGGTATGTTGATGTTCAATTGTTGTACGTCTAATTCTGATTGGTCTATTTGACAGATGGCCTTGGCACCATTCCTGAGCTTGCCCAAGGAAATTGAAAGTTTGAAGACTGTGGTTGAGATGAGGAATGAAGAAATTCAAAAACTTCGTACCAAAAACATGGACCTGGAGAAACAGGTCAGTTGAGTGATTCACATCTGGTTTTTGTAGTTTGTCAGCAAGTTTTTGATTGGCTAGAAATGAACCCACACACATCTTCCCTTTCAGCTGGAGGAGGTTCCCATTGGCCGAGAGAAAATTTTGTCCTTACAGCAAAAAGTGGAGAACTTGGAGGCAATCATCAACATCAAAACAGACCATGAGAAGTTGGTTTCATTTTTGTTCTTTTTCACATGCAAATTAGAATAAGAATATAGACACCAACGCGTTTCTCAATAATGCTATGAACAGGCAAAGTAGAGTTTATTGGCTTATTTGAAGAAAATGCTCCATACGTAATTATGTATTTTAAAAATTTTAAAAATTAAATTTACTAAAATTGCGTTTGGGTCATATAAACTATGTTCTAACTATCAATTCGATTCATTTAATCTTTCCCCTCTATTTGTGCCAACTGACCCTAATGACTGATGTAATTTTCAGACAACTCCATGAGCGCTGTCAGGTTCTGATGAGGAAGTTTGACCGAGCCACACGAGCCAACAAGCGTCTGTCCATGGACTACGAGCAGGTCATGTGGCGCATGTCCCAGAGCTCAGACTTCGGCTCCAGTGAAAGTCTGACCCAGAGGCAGCTCAGCCGCTCACCCCCCAGGTCACCGGACGGCAGGAGACGCACCCTCTCCCCCAACTCGGCTGGGGAGGTGGTCATGAGGAAGAAGAGGAACAGCCACAGCGTGGGGGACGGGGAGAGGAAGCTGAGGTCAAGGTCAGCTACTTTTGTGGTGGAGAAGACAGAGAGCAGTGACAGCCACTCCCCCTCGTCCAGCCCCCAGCCCAAGCTGAAGCGCTGGAGGAAGAAGTCGGAGGCGGAGGAGGGTAAGGACGGCAAGTCCAGGGTGGAGAGGATGTGTCACTCGGCGGGGGCGGAGCTTATCTCACACCTGGAGGGCCAGGACGAGGCCCCCGGCTCCACCGACCCGTCAGACAGCATGACGTCGTCTGTTGAGATGGCCGAGTCGTTAGCGCGGTCTGTGTCTGGCGTCAGTGACTCCGGTGTGTATGACAGCATGACCAGGTCAGATATGCTGAACAGTTCGGTGGTCAGCACGGACTCGGAGTGGGCGGCTTCTGTCAACCTTTCCATGACCTACGACTCAAATATAGACGACCTTGATCCTGACCTTAAGTCGGGGGATTTTTCTTCACTAAATGAGGTCACGGTTCTACATGGGTCAAGGTCAGTAACAAGGTCAAAAAGTGGCATGAAGGCCAGCAACACAGTCCTGTTCTGTCCTGAGAAAAGTTGTGAGGACACAAAGACTGGACCAGCCAGGGTAGAGGAGGCTGTGGGCAGACCAGAGAATGGTGATGAGGTGTTTGATGAGAGTGTTTCCATGGAGAGCTCATGCTGCTCTTTTGATAACCTTGACCTTGATAACGGGTCAAGGTTAGTGTCTGAAGATTTCCCACCCGATGACCCACCCCCGGGTACACCTGGCAAAGTATCAGAGGTTGTAGTGCCTCTGGACAAGGGGGATAAGTCAGTCTTAGTGCCACTGGACAAGGGGGATAAGTCAGCTCTCAAGTCAAGTCAAGCAGAGTGAACACTGTTTTTAGAATTTATTTGCTAAACAAAATATTTCGCAGCTTCTTCTCATAATTTATTTGACTTCAGAGCAAAATTTTAGATCATAAAGTAGGTCAAGGTTGTTTCTTTATATGGTCTCTTCTGGTTTTTGTAGTTTGTTTTGGTCTGGGACAGGTTTGTGGTTTACAGTCAAATAAGAACAATATATGATTTACAGTGAAAGAAATTTTTCTTTTCTTTTAAAAGGAAAAAACTTTTGTGAGAATTTTTTTTTTAAAAGGAAATTGTTTTGCAACTTTTAAACCACACATAAAGATTTCTGTACCAGAAATTTTTTTTTATCTAAAATATTTGTAATTAGAGTATTTTAACAGCAATTTTCCAAAAGAAATGTAATTCTATTTTGGAAGCTAAAAATATTTAAAAGTAATTAATTTAAAATAGAAAATTTGATTCTATTTTCAAGTGAGATTTAAAAAAAAAATTACATCCATCAATAAGAAAGTATTTTTAATCCTTACATTTAAAGAAATTGATTTATCAATGTTTTTTTGTGTAAACATGAGCAGCTGGTAGAAGCTGTACCTGTTAGAGCAGAGATGGGGGGTGATAGGGTGGTGGGAGGGATGGAGATGTTCCTTGAAATATTTTTAGTGCCTTTACAAGTCATTTTTTTTAGCCTTATTTTTTTTTTTAACATCTTGTTTTTTGACTTAAAGTAAAAGAAAATGTTTTTTTTAGAATTTTATGTAGGGAAGACTACTATAATTAAGGAGGACATGCAGTCATAGCTTATTGACAGTGGACATGATCATGTGACAGTTGATATGATCATGTGACAGTGGATATGGTCATGTGACAGTGGATATGGTCATGTGACAGTGGATATGGTCATGTGACAGTGGATATGGGCATGTGACAGTGGATATGGTCATGTGACAGTGGATATGGTCATGTGACAGTGGATATGGTCATGTGACAGTTGATATGATCATGTGACTGTTGATATGATCATGTGACTGTTGATATGATCATGTGACAGTTGATATGGTCATGTGACAGTGTATATGTTCATGTGACAATTGACACTAAATACTGCCACAATTTGATTTAAGAGGCTGACATCTTTAGCAATCAGATATTTAAAAAAAAAGAGATTTTATTTTGTATTTGTTGTATTTTTCTTTTGACTTAGCTGGAGCCAGGGTATTTTCATGCTAGAAATATTTGATTTTTAAACAATTTTTTTGTGCTAGAAATATTTGATTTTTAAACCATTGTTTGTGCTAGAAACATTTGATTTCAAACCATTTTTTTGTGTACTAGAAATATTTGATATCAAACCATTTCTTGAAGTGCTCTTGTTGATGGTGAAAGAACAACTGCCATAACCAGTGGGGGAGGAAGGGATGCAATGTGGCAGATTATGGTGGGTTGTGATACTCCGGTGATGAATGGACCAATGCTAGTGTCCCTTTGACTTGTCTCTTGTAAGCTGACATGTCACATACACTGATGTCATAGTTAGTGACATGTTGTGTACTGACTTGTCACGTATAATGATGTCACACATGCTGACATGACATGCCAAGTGACATGTTGTATACACTGACATGTCGATCATAAGAGAGTGACAAAAGCTGAGGTGTTTGTAAAAAAAAAAAACTTGCTGTTTTCTAACATAATAAAACTTAGCATAATTTGAATGTTGAATCATTTTAAAGTTATTTTTATGCTGAAATTGTGCACATATGCATTTTGATCAGTGTCAAACAGTTTTTTTTTCTTTCAAATTTTTTTCCTTTTAACTAGCCAAAGAATCTCTGCTATCTCATTGTGTGTGGTATGTGTCTCACTAGTAGGTCTTCAGAGTTTTGTGATTTATGTGAGTTGTCAGCAGTAATTTTAATACATTGATTTTGTGAACTTGTGATAAATTATACCAAAATTGCAATATTATTATTATGCAAGGGAACTGTTTATTCAAAAAAACCAAAACACTTATGGTTAATTAACCGTAATAAGCAAAAAAAACGGGTTATTTCCTTTGTCTAACTCTATTGTTACTAAACATTAAAATTTTTTGAGGTAAAATTTAGAAAGAAAACGAAATGTCAGGAGGCTAACACTAGTCATTGCTTTAATGTTGTAACCAAACCACACAACTCTTGTTTATTACAAAACCTCAATTTTTTTTTTTTAAAAGCTGTGAATGATGGGACGTAACTGTGATAACAGTAGAAACAGGTTTTAATTGTTCTATGCCAATTCATGCAGGAACAATATTGGGGCATTACTAGTCTGAAGTTGTTTTTTAAAAATTGTCTCCCTTTATGAGTTATCTATGGTGTTCCCCATCCTTCAGTGTTAGGCTTCATTCATTAGAAAGTTTCAACTGAGGTTAGAGTGTTATATCGTTGCTAGTATTCTATAAATATCACTGGTTATATAGTTAAATGTCTCATCTTTTTTACTTGACTTTTCTTATGTGAATGTTTCAATACATTTTTAAAGCAAAACTTACTTTTTAACAAGAAGCAAATTAAAAGCTAGTTAATATTGTAAAAATACTTATGTAGTTGCTCTAGTTTTGGTTAAAAGTTTAAATTGTCAAATATTCAAGGACATAATTTAAAAAAAAAATTGTGTGTAGGCCTGCCCAGTTTTTAATGTACTATGATGTAGAAATGTTTAACAGGACTTGGCAATCTTTTTCCTGTGCTGTGCAATTGATTGGTGTTTATAAACCACACAGTTGTTGTCTCTTGGCTTTTACACTAGCCATAGTTTCATGGTTAGTTTAAATAACTAAACATTCTTACCATGGAAGAAATGAACAGAGTACAATCTTTTCTGGCTAAAGACTTACTTATAGGCAATACACTTTATAAACTTGTAAATAAACTCTACTTTATCTAGGTTTATCCTGTAGCACAGTCAGTGTGTACAAACATTTTTTGTACTACTTATAAGTGTGTACAGATATTTTCTGCACAAAATTCGTGTGTAGTTTGGTTTAGTTTGTTTCACTTGAGCAGAGAATTGGTTTTTTCCCATATATGAATGTCATTTGTTATGAATGGTTGCTAATAAATTCAGTTGCAGAATGAGTTATTCATGAGTTATTTTTTTATTTCTTTTAGCTGATTTATATAATGAGAGTAAGGCGAAACACATTCAAACTGGTAACACATCTACCCAAAGATCAGAAGCTTAACTAAAGACTAGCTGTCTCCGAAAAGACCTAATCTCCCTCAAGACGAACTCTATCATCTAAAGACCAACAATCTCCCTAAGACCAACTCTATCTAAAGACCAGCAGTCTCCATAAAGACAATTCTTCAACAAGCTAACAATGATCTGACAAAAACCGTCAGTTAATAATGTTGGATTATCCCCCTTTGCTTAAAAAGTGAACGATCTATCTTGACAAGCGAGAGAAAATGAATTTATTAAAAAAAAAATCCGTTTCATAAATTGTTGAAGGATTTTTGTTGGGAACAATATAGATCTGCTTGCAAAACTTTTTCAAAATAAACATGTAAAATTTAACAGTTAATCACCGGTTAATATTTAACACCCAGTAAAGCTGTTTGAAGCCTGCCTTAAAGTTAAACTAAATTGTTATCCGTCATGTTTTTAACAACTTCATAGAATTTTTAGAAACAAGATTTTAACTAGCAGCCCGCTGAACACCAATATTCTAACCTTGAACTTGACCAAACAACCAAGGTCAGCTACAAAAGCTATTAAAACTATTTTTTTAGACAGCTGAGGTTATTTAGTAAAATTACCTTATTACACCAACCAGCCTTAAAATCAGGTCATTTAAAAATAGAAACCTCAATATCTCATTGCCACAATCCGCTACCAATATCCTCCCCCCCCCCCCCCCCGAAAAAAAACCCAACCATTTGCAATATTGCAAGTCATTTTGTAGATAACTAGATCACCATGTAGGCGAGAGTGACCTCTAGGGGTCATGTTTTTCTCTGATTATTCCTGGCCAATCAAATTGATTGCCTTTCATTTTTTAGTGGCAGTCAGTTGTTGATCACTTAGTGTCCGTGGTTGTCTCCCCCTACAAGACACAGGAAGGTCCTTAACGTCAGCCCTCGGCAGCAGGCTCGGCAAAAAGTCCCAATTTACTGAAACGTTTCACGTAAGTGACAAGTGGGGCTTTTTATATGGGGATAAAGGGGTGTTCACGTGTGTGTCGTATTGGCAGAAGGCGTAGGATGTGAAGAGCTCTTTAATTTGCGAAAATAGAGTTACAAGAAGAAATGTTAAGCTCCTGACATTTCGAATTTGTATTAGCAGACGTAATAACATTCATTTTAAAAGACTTTTTTTCACGGACGTTTTTGCTAGATTAGTATCAGATGTAAGTGTAATGGTAGAGTAGGACACAGGCATTGGGAAGCCAGGCAGTCGATGATTTGTCGTCTGCTGAGGGGAGGTAACCTAGACATCTGTCCGAGGTTGTTGAGTGAATTAGGGAAACTAAGTAACGAATCAATAAAACATTTTTGATCGGCATTAGACCCTAGGTCGTTAGCCGGTGCCGATTAGGTCCAAGGTCATGACCCGACGATATTATGATCCAAGGTCGTGACCCTTAGCCGCTAAGGTCCAAGGTCGTTAGCCGATGCCGCTAAGGTCAAGGTCGTCAACAGATGCAGCTTAAATCAAGGTCGTTAGCCGATGTCGCTTAGGGCCAAGGTCATGACCCGACGGTATTATGGTCCAAGGTCGTGACCCGATGGCACCACTTAGCCAACGCCAGGCCTGACACACAGGAGCCGGATGTGATGCCTGTATGATGCAGTGACCCTGACCTTCACCCGGTCACCTTCCCGACTCCCCCTAACAACCCACCTGACGACCTTGACGCCCCTTTCACCTCAAACATAAACGCGGCGGTGAAGTTAAATTGGGCCAAACTTTCTCCTCATACCGTCGACTCCCCGTCCCCCGAGTCATTTTTACCGAGGTTTTTGTTGAGTCGATACAGTGCGGCAAGTGCTCACCTTGCTAAAGATAGATCGGAGAGAAAAACTTGTCTGACGAGTACTGGCTCCAGGGTAGGACAAGTTTAGGTCAATCAACTGGTACACGAGTAGAGGTCAGGGCAGCGGCTTGGTGAGTTAAGTCAGTCAGGACTTTAGTCTGACCTTGTCTGGTCTAAATTTGTCAGCTAGACTCAGGTCTAAATGTTTAGGTAGACCCAGGTCTAAATGTTCAGGTAGACAGGTCTAAATTTAGATTCAAAGTCAGGACTAAACTTAGGTCGAAAGACTGGTCTATTTTAAGTCTTAATTTAAGTCCAAACAGGTTAGATTCAGGTTTAATGTCTGGAATGAACATGCACACAGAGAAGTTCTCCTGGGATGACATCTCTCAATGTCCAGGTCGGT